GGTGTACACCTGTAATCTCATAGACTAGGCAGGCCGAGGCAGGACGATCGCAAATTCTCAGTAACTTAATGATACCCTGCCTCAAAATAAAAAATTAAAAGAGCTGAGGATTTAGTTCCATGGTAGAATGCTTGTCTATCATGTTTAAGGCCGTGGGTTCAGTCCTTAGAACTGCAAAAAGAAACTATCTAGTTTGGGCTACAGTCCTTGAACTACCACATAAAATCCTGCACTGAACAAATTGTGTCATTTGCTGCCTGAGGTAGGGCCTAGATCATTGTTATCTCCAGTGTCTAACACAGCTCTTGGGGCTTAGTAGCCACCCAGATGTTCAGTGAACTGAAATAACAGCAATATTGTGACTAATTTTTAAAACAGCAATATTGTGACTAATTTTTAAAAAGGAAAAGTTAACCAATAATTTTTATCTTAGATGCAGGGCTTCCTCTCTCTTCTATCCTTTGCCTATCCTGTTTGTTTCTTTTTTGGTTTTGGTACCAGGGATTAAACCCCGGACCCAGAGGCTCTTTACCACTGAGCTAGCTACATCTCCAGCCCTTTTCGTTTTTTATTTGGGGATGGTGTCTCACATAGTTACCCAAGTTGGCCCCAAACTTGGAGTCCTCCTATCTCAGCCTCCTAAATTACTGGGATTACAGGTGTGCATCACGGTGCCAGTTTGCCCATCCTATGTACAAATCTTACTATCAGCAGTATCTGCTTTACTACTTAACAAAACATTCTCTAATACATTAGCTCTGTAAATCTGAAAGCAACTGTGAGGTGATGGAATTAGTAGGATTGTAAAGCCATTTGACAGAGAAGGAAATTGACTCAGAAAAGCTAAATAACTTGACTCAAATCACCCTGGGACATTGCCAACCTTGGAAGAATCTTTCCCTGGTGCTGTGCACCCCTCTCCCACCCTCAAGTTCATAATTAGGCCCCTGGCTGCTGGTTGCATGCCTGGATCACAGAGATATAGATGGTTTACAAATCTCTGAGCATCAAATCCAAAGAGAGATTATTCTTTTGTTTGCCCTATTGAATTATTCTGGCAATTCTCTGGGTAGAACATTCAAGAGTTAAAACCAGCAATAAAGATAAAATAAAAGCTAAGAGTCAGTTTTTCTCAATCTGTTGCAAACAGATCTCCAAAGATAAGAAAATTGATTCTTATGATCAGATGCTGGTTCACACTGTGCCCATGATTTTATTCACTTTGTTCTGAAGAAACAAGTAATCAGCCCGTTTACCTACCATCCCCTGTGGCTGGGCTTGGGGTTCTGCTGTGCGGCAGTTGGAGAAATTCAATTCACCAGACATTTATCCATGTGCCTTCTCTGTGTCAGGCAGTGTAGGAGGGGCCAGGGTTGCAGAACTGAACGAGCCTAGTCCTTGTTCTCAGAGTCCAGGGTATTCTCTAGGTCCTATAGTCATGGCATGCAGTTGTTCTTTAGGGAGAGGATTTGAATTCATTTGCTTTTACATTTTAATCAATTGAATACATGTTGTTTTATATGATGGTTATAATTTTTAATGGTGTTACACTGTTCCTCCATGATAGGATATGGATTTACCATCATAGCTTATCCATCTACTATCTAAACTCTAAGAACTTTGTGTGTGTGGAAAGTATAGAAAGAAAAGGATTAACATGGATATTTAGGACTCAGCAGTGGTGCAAAGTAATCTTTCATTTCAGGGGCAGCCCTGTGAAATTTAGAGTTTGATGACATTTCATCCCTTCAAAGATTAATAGGAGTTTTCAATAAAAGCATCAGGGTTTGCACATTTGGAAGTTAACCCAGCCACATCTCCATTCACATTTGTCATCACACCTGTATGTCTTGTGAATTTATTTTTAAATGTTAGAAGTAATACATCAGCATTATAGAAGTGAGGAAAAATGGCAGAGGAAATGGTTGCCTAAAATGTTAACTACTCTGATACTGAGAGACACTTGGACCTTGGGCACCTTATCTCTGAACCTTAATCTCCTCATCTGTAAAACTGGAATCATTTCAACTTTATGAAGCTTTGCTAAGGCTAAGAGATAGCACAGAACATATATCCAGAACCCAGAATAAGTGTATATTTTATTAGAGCAAAAATAACTTCTTTTGTGTGCATGGTGCTGAGGATGGACCCACATCTGTGCATGCGAGGCAGGCCCCCTGCCACTGAGCTTCCCTGTAACCCCCCATCTTTATAAGATCCCTTTGTCTAGTTTTTCATGGTTTTTCTTTTTTGCAGTTTTTTTTTTGTTGTACTTCTGAACCCTCATTATATACAACCCACATTATTATACGACCATTTTCCATGTTGCTATATATGATGGCTGTAATTTTTAATGGTGGTACACTGTTGCTCCGTGATAGGATATGGATTTACCATCATAGCTTATCCATTTACCCTATTGTGCATTTGGCTTGCTTCCAGTGCAAATAACACTTCAACGAACAGGGTTTCTGTTGTTCTTGTGGTGCTGGAGAGCAAACCCAGGGTCTTACCCATGTCAGACAAGCACTCTACCCCTGAGCTATGTCCTCAGCCCATTTTTTTCAGGGGGAGGGGCTACCAGGGATTTAATTCAGGGTCACTTGACCACTGAGCCACATCCCCAGCCCTATTTTGAATTTTATTTAGAGACAGGGTCTCACTGAGTTGCTTAGCACCTCATGATTGCTGAGGCTGGCTTTGAACACCTGCCTCAGCCTCCCAAGCCACTGGGACTACAGGTGTGTGCCCCTGCACCCAGCCTCAGCCAATTGTTGATATGTTCATACTTCCTGGGAAGTCTTAGGCAAGTACTTAATCTCTGTGGCGGTTGCCTTGTCTACTAACTGGAGAAGGAATGGTCTGTCAGAGAGGAGAGCTACATGGGTGAAATGGGGCAGCACAACAGCTGGGGGAGCAGTGCCTGATGTGTACCAGATGTTTAGTAAACATTACCTCTTATTTCTCTAGGCTTGCTCACCAGCCATGGGGTTTCTTGATTCACTGCCCTCCAAGGATTTTGGCAGTTTCTGATGTCAACAGCAATATGTAAAAGGACCAGTTTCTCAACACCCTCATTAGCTGTGATCCTTGGTTTTAACTATGTACTCTCTGTCCCTTTAAAATAGGGTAGCAGCAGGTATACAGCACTTGCCTAGCAGGAGTGAGGCCCTGCTTTTCATCTCCCTCACTATAATCAATCAATCAGTCAAATTGGAACAAAATAACAAATTCATCCAAAGGTGGGCTGCATGTTATGGTGGGATCTCTTCTGCACCTTCACCTGAAGAGTCAATGCCTATGCCAAGGTCAAGTTCCTCAGGGTGTTTAGAATTCTGGTTTTCTGAAACCTATATCCCCAGCTGCATTCTACAAAATTATTGTGTAAGTTGGACCTTTGAAACTTAAAAAACCAGCGTATTTTATTTCTTACTGAAATGCAGCCTCTCTGGATAAATTATAAAGAAGAGAGATTTATTTGAGGTCATGCTTCTGGTTCAAGGCCAAGAGACCACATCTGGTGATGACCCTGCTGGCAGAGTCCCACATGGTGCAGGGCATCACATAGTGATTGGAAACTTACATATGTCTGTCTTCTGGGAGGCTGCCGGTGTTCAGTCACCGGGCCTCCACCCTGACCAACCTATCTAATCCTCATTAATCTCTAAAAGGCCCCACCTCTAAGCCCCAGAGTCAAGTTTCTTCCCTTTTAATACCTCCCCAAAGACATTAAACTCCAACATGAGTTTCAGAGGGGACAAATCCTATTCAGACCATTGGCAGACCTCTTAATATTTTTATTTTTCCTTAAATTAGACACCAGTTGGCTCTAGAAAAATCCATGTGGCAGGCAGAGGTCTCTGAATTCTCCCATCTAGAGACAGTAAATTGGCAAGGATAACCAGTGTGCCCTGGTTTGACAGTTAATACTTGTTCTGGTGTAATTGTCTGTAGTGCTCTCTTCATCCTCTAAAATGACCTAGTTTGGATAACAAATTATACCATCCTCCTAGTCCCAGGGGCTTCTCAGAAGCTGGGGCATCTGCCCTTACTTGCCACCTCCCTGGCACTTAGCTCTCTGTCCAAGAAAGGTTTCAGCCATATTTTTTCTCACTGTGCTTAACCTGGGAGAGTCCAGTTTCCTTTTTTTTCTTTCTCTCTCTCTCTCTCTCTTTTTTGTTCTGGGAATTGAACCCCAGGGCCTCACAATTGCTAAGCACACACTACCGCTGAGCTGCACCCCAACTCCTACCAGCCTCTTTTGAATTCACTTCGCCCACTGGGTATTCACTCAAACATTCTGTTTTCCTCTGAGTCTCACTGATGATTGTCAGTAGCAGAGGCAGGCACTTCGCATTTTGTTTCAAAAGTTGCTCTTTGTGCTTGTTATTGATGTTTCAGCTCATTTCATGTCACAGGCAAACATAACCCTCATTTCTCACCATTTGCAACTTTTCAGATTATATCTGCCTTTAATTTCATCTTAAATATAAAACTCTTCTTATTGGGATTTTTAAGACTCACTGCTCTTGCCCTCATCAAATGCAATAAGGTTAATTACATTCATAAAGTTCCCCAGAAGCCCCAATGCAAACAGATCCACAATGAGTGAGCAATGACAAGGACAAATCTCAAGTGCTAATACACAGCTCCTGTCTCCATGAATGGCCACAGGCAGAGCATTGCTTTTAAGATAAAGGATTATAAGTACAGAATCTTCTGCATTAGGAAAAAAAAAAGAAAAGAAACTAGCTTCTCCCTGATGATTACCTTGTGTACTTAGGTAACTGTGTTTTCACTAGTCTATAGGGCTTTGTGATTTGAGAAGCTCTAAATAAGTACCTCTCTTCCTTGGGTAAGTTGTTCACAGTTTTAAGGAAGCAAAGTGTCTGGGTGAGAGATCCTGCCAGGCCGAAGCAGCCCCCCTGTGTGGGGGCTACAGTTCTACATGCAAATGGGGATTCTAAATGGGAGTTTATTTTTCTGTCTGTTTTAACTAGGTGACTTTCGGATGGTGATTGGAGAGGATAAGACAAAAGTGTTGAACATTGTACTGCCCAACATGGCCCATTTCCGAGAGCTATACAGCAGCATTCTACAGGAGAATCCCCAAGTGGTGTATAAAACCCAGCAAGGCAGACTGGAGGTAAACCGTAGGTGGGAAATAACTTCCATCGCTCCTAAGGCAACAGCTACATGAGGTACTGGGAATTGAACTGAAAAGACAACTTTAAGGAACAGGAATTATTATTATTTTTGGTACTGGGCTACCATTGACCTTGTGATGCTCCTGCCCCAGCCCTCTGAGTTGCTGAATTGTAGTTATCCACCACTGTGTGGCAGGAATTCTTTTTAAAACAAGAAAAGAACAGATAATGTGAAATGCCAGAACAATCATTGCTCATTTTAACGGATTTTGCCATGCTTGCTTCAAGTTAAAGTATTTTTGTTTTCTGCTTTTTAAATTTTTTACTTTTATCAAAATATCTGCTCCTGGTTTAAAAGCCAAGTGGTACCTTGAGGTTTGTAACAAAAAATAGCAGTTCCCTGCTCTGCCCTTCCCTGTTTTCTCTACCTACTCCAGAGGCAGCTTCCTCAGCTTTGTAGCTGATTCCTGTGATATTTACCACCCCCTTCTAAATAATAGGATTTGACTTCTTTCTTGACTGTTTTCAGCTTTATACTTTATTTTTGCCATCCTACTGTGAGAACGAGGATTTTTTTTTCACTCTTACACTACTCCATCAACACACACACGTATTTTTCTCCTGTTTCACTCTTACTTTTCCCCTCTTACCTCACCCCCTCATGTTCCATTATAATTATTTTATAACTATTCATTAAGTTAATATTCAGCATTTACTTCATTATGACAATCCCCCCATGCTGGGGATGGAACCCAAAATGTTGCACATTCTAGGCAAGTGCCCTACCACTGAGCACCACCCCCAGGGCTCTGACAGCTTCTCTTTTATTGCTGAGATACAGTATTATGAAATTCCCTTTCCTGTACAACTTGTTTCTCCTGGAGTTAATTGCCTCCCCCCTCCCGCTTGCTTGGTTTATTTGGTAGAGTGCTTGTGCTTGCCTAGCATGGGGAAGGCCCTAGGTTCAATCCCACCACAGGAAAAATTAAAAAAAAAATCCTCCACCTCTCAGAGATCTATAAAACTCATCTACTTATATCAAATACATTGAGTGTTTTCTCCCCAGCCCCTTGAGGACATTCTTCCGTGAGGCCTCTGTTCTGTCCCTTCCTAGGCTACTTGTTTTCTAGGATTAGGGACCTAACTTCTTTTTGTGATCACCCTGAGAATTTCCCTTGTTAGTCTGTCCTTTGCTATTCTGTCTTCTGGATCTTGTGTCTTCCTCCTTCATAATTCTGGTGAAGCATGTTCTGTTAATTCCTTCTTCACATAGATTGTGAGAGCGGCAAGTGTTTGAGATCAGATACCTCTGATAAATCTCTCTCACTGATGGATCATTCAGTCAGTAATAGGCTAGATATCAAATTCTAGGGTAGAAATCATTTTCCCTCAGAAGGTTAAGTCATAGCTTCATTTCTTCTTTCAGTATTGCATTAAATATTTGGTGGTATTCAGATTGCCTATCCTTTGTATATGACCCCTTTTAATCTCTCTGACAGTGTTAAGATATTTTCCTTTTTGCAGACTTTTGTTGTTGTTTATTTGTTTTGGTATTGGGGATTTAACCCAGGGTCTTTGAACCACTGAGCTATTTATTATTTTGAGGCAGGGACCTGCTAAGTTGCTTAGGACCTCACTTAGTTGCTAAGGCTGGCCTGGAGCTTGCAATCCCCCTGCCTCAGCCTCCCAAGTCATGGGATTATAGGCATGTGCCCCCACACCCAGCCACTATTTTTAACTTTTGTGATGACTTGCCTTTATTTTTGTACACGTCTGTTTTAAATTTATTATTTGAGCACTTGGTGGGCCTTTTATATCTGGAAAATTATGAAGTTTAGTTTTAGGAAATCTATTGTTTCTGAAATAATGTCCTCATACCCACTTTCTTAGTTTATTCTTTTGGGAATTCCTGTTATTTGTAGAACTCCTGCTTTGATTTTTTTTTTTTTCCTTTCTTTCCTGTTTCCTCAGGTTTTTCTGTTCAGCTTTCTGGAAGAATCTTTCAAGATTGATTGTTTAACTTTTCTACTGAATTTTCGGGTCCCATTGAGATTCTTTTTTCTTGCTTTATTAATGCATCATCTCTTCCTCAATTCTTTAATGATCTTTATCATAATTTTGAAGTTTTTTTCTTGCTCCCTTTATTTGTCTTTCTTAGTTCCTTTCATTCGCTCATCTATTATATTAGAGGTCTTCCTCAAATATCTGGATGCTTTTTCTGGCCTCTTTTTAAAAAGTGAGGCACTAAAATGCAGACTGAGAGTTCCTTGTGACAGATAGGGTATACCAGCTGATGGGCTTCATATAGAATCATGTTCCAAGTACTTGGCTATTTTATTAGAGGACCCCAAATGTCAGTATCTGTAGAATTTCTTCAGAGAGACATCTAGAGGACAGTGAAGGGTTATATTTCTACATGCCAACTTTTCTAAAAACTGAGCAAAAGAAAAGGATTGGAATTTCCTTTAGTACAAAGCTAAGCTTATTCAAACTCCCTGTGATCTGCAGAAGCAGATGTATGATCTAGTTTTCAGTTGGTTTTGTGTCCAAGGTATTTATAAAATAAATAAAAATTTGTTTTAGTTGCAGTTGGACACTATATCTTTATTTTATTTTTGTGTGGTGCTGAGGATCGAACCCAGCACCCTGCACGTGCTAGACGAGCACCCTACTGCTGAGCCACAACCCCATCCCAAAAAGGAAATATCTTTTTAAAATATAAATAAATAAATAAAATAAAAAGGTATTGTGTCCAACTACAACTAAAAAATAAATATAAAAAAAATCTTGGCAAGGGATGCTAAGGGATCTGTATGTGCAACCCTACCTCCTACTGATCAGGGACATTTACTCCTGTTGATATGTAAGTACCTCATTTCCTGGACTTTCAGCACGGAATTCTAAAGTGATCCATCAAAGTCCTAACTTTAAGTTAGTGAGATATTTGCTGTGTCTTGGGAGAAGCCATCCTCCTCTAAGAACTGGGACCTTTAAATCCACAGATCTAGAGTTTTAAGATGAGACATACTAA